TGTTTATGGGAACCTTGTGGCCTCAGGAATTGGCAACTGGAATATGTTGTCTGTTAAAATTAGTTCTCAAGCCTAGTCTCAGAAATGAGCTTCAAAATTTCAGCATCCATTTAGGCAATGTCAAACATCACACCTCCTGAATATTAATGATATAGTTTAGTTAATACAAGGACATTGGCAAGACTCTTTGTTTCATGTTTAATGATCAGCTGTTCAAGAAATGTATGTTTAATGCTAACTCTTCTTGCTCCAATTGTAATGCAGGGTTCAGAGCATTGGGTATTTATAGAAAGAGAAACTTCTGAGCTGGAAGAGCTAGCAATAAAACAAATTATTGAGACCCAGAAGGAAGAAGCATGTGCTGGTCCTTCAAAGAAGCAAGAAAATTTGGACTTCTCAAATGTGATCATCCCAGCAGGGGAACCTAAAGCAGCAGCAAAGCAGGAGGAGAAGGCAAATGAGGAAATCAAAATACAGAATTGCAAAAGAGTTAAAATGATAGCTAGTCCAGAGGATTTTGAATCCTTATGGGAGGATGATATGTATGAGAGAGATAACAGAAAACATCCTTCTGAGACAGATAGCCATACATCTGAAGAGAAAGAAGAACAGAAAAGCAAAATGGTGGCAGCAAAAGTTGCTTCCACTGAACCTGGAGGAAAAGAGGAACCGAAAGACAAAGTGGGGGCTGCAGTAGCTGCCACTGATTCTGAACACAGAGAACAGAAGAAAGACAACATGGAAACAGAGGCAGTAGCCTTCACTAAACTTGAGCAACCAAGTGGCCCTATTAAAGGGCCAACAGAAAGCAGTACTGAGCCTGAGGTTTCCCCTGATGAAGAAAGAAAAAGATCTGCCTCTTTTTGGCCAGAATCTCGAAAAGAACAAAACCAAGTTACAATACAAGATTATAGGACTATGTTGACAGTATCTGACAAGGAAGTGTTACAAACTGCCTCTGATTCTGATACTGTTAAAGCAAAATTGAAACTGAGTGAGAAGGCAGTATCTTCTGCTGCAGAAAGGATCATCTATTTGGGTTCTGAAGAAACAGATGAAAAGGATTATGAGACAAAGAAAATACCTGATAGGGAAAAGGATTTATCTTCTGAAGAGAGGCAAGAAAAACAAACAGAATTATCCAATGAAAAAGAGAAACCTGCTAGATTGGCATTCGTTGTAGATACAGGATTGGTGGGGGGCCGTGATGACTTCCAATCCAGTTCACCCAGATATGCTGAAGAAAAATCAGAGCTCAAAACACCAATTATGAAATCTGATCACCCTGGCAAAGATACAGTGGATGGTAAAAAGTTGCATCCCATTCAGCTGGATACATCTGAAAAAGAAGAGCATTCATCAACTGCAGAGGAAAGAGCTTCTGTGGAATCAGCTGGAAGGAGAGAAGATAAGGAAACTAGCGCATACCATTCCATTGAAGAATCCAGCCAAGGGGCTTTCCATTTCTCAATGACACAGCTAACATCTGCATCCCCAACAAAAGAAATAGATGCTCAGTTCTCTTGTGGGCAAGAAAAGAAAGCTGATGAAATACAGTGCGCTCCCCTAGAAAGTGGAAAAGAATCTGACAAGAAGGAGACTGGCATTGTCACAGAAATAAGAAAATTAGAAGAAAGGGGAGCTTCTCAAATATGTATTCAAATGGATGCTGTAGAAATTACAAAATCCACTACAGAATCCTCAATAAAGCACATTTCCAGTACTACAGAAATTTCAAGTGGAGAGCAACGTAAGCCAGAGGACACTAAGACAGAAGCATTAGCTCAGGATGAAAACTCTGAGTCAGGCCAGTCCTCGCAGAACAAATTATCTGAAATTATGGAGCCAATCCAAAATATATGCACTGAATCAGAAGGATCCATCAAGGATAAAAGCTCTGAAGTAGAACCATCAGGTGAATATGAGAGCTCTAAACTAGAAGCTGCAGCCAAACACAGACTGCAAGAACTGGAAGATGCAGCCAATGCCAACAATATTGAAGTGGAACAGATGACAGAAGATAAGCCCCCTCATTCAGAACAGTCAGCTAAAGAGAAATCAACTTTGGATAATCTCTCAAAATTTCAAAAGGCAGCGAAGGATGGATCCTTTCTGCCTGAAGAATCAGCTAGAGATGAGCTCCATGGATTACAGATATTGGCTAAAGATAAATACCAAAGACTGGGTGAACAAGCAGAAGTGCCAGAGGATACAATCCCAGAAATGGAGGGCACAGATGAGGAGAAACACCATAAAGTGGAAGAGCTAGTAAAAAGTAATCTCCAAAAATCAGAGGGTATAATTATAGACTCAGAAGAACTGGCTCAGAACAAGTCCTCCAGCTTGAATTGGGTATCCGGGGAGTACATTTTATCGCAGGCTAGTCCTCCGCATTCTAAACCTCCAGAATGGAAAGAGACACCCCAGGATAAATCTCTTTTGAAAGAAGAAACAGAGGCAACACATGAGACTGGGACAGCAGAAGGGAATGAAGGCAGTTCACAGCTGGCTCAGGCGACAGAGCAGGGCATAGAACTAAAGACTTTAAGTGAAAAACAGAAACTAGATCTGGAACCACTGAAACTCATTGTATGTGACACAGACACTACATCACCTCATAAGGATATACTCCCACCTGCAGAGAGCCATGGGGGTGCATTTGAGCACAGGAGTGAGACAAACCAAGAAATCTCTGTAGCTTCTAAAATCAGGATGTTTGAACAAGGTGAAATGTACAGCTCGCTTTTTGATGAGCAACATGCAGCCTTAAAGAGATTCCATGAGAGCTGCCCAGGTAGTGAAAAACCTAAGGATCCACCAAAGATGCATATAGAATTACAGAAGGGTATACTTTCAGAAAATAACTATGCAAAAGTGAACGCTCCCTTAGGCCCTTTGGATGGCAAAGTAAAGGATGTCTACCTAGCACCTGCCCAAGGAGCAAGTGAAGGAGAACCATCTCAGCCTTCATCTTGGAAAGAAGATATTTCTGTTGGATCAGAACAAGGGGAAGCAGAAGGAGATACTGACTTGGCTTCTCCTGATTCTGGCTGTGAAATCACTTTGGCAGAAGCTGTGGTAACTTCCCAGATGAACTGTCCCACTGGAAAGTTCATAAAGCATGTTGTGTGATTCGTCGTGATGCATAATGTGCCATGGCTTCAAACATGGCCGTTGACTTGAGAGCTGCTGCTTGCATCCCCTCTCCTTTCTGTATGTGCGTGTGACCTGACTCAGTTGCTGAATGCGAACCACCTGGCCCAGGCAGCTCATTAGCTTTTGGACTGTTAATTTGTGTGTCTCTGTGTGTGTGAAAACTCCTAAAGGTTTGGCTACCTGGAGAATGGCAGCTGCTAACTTGAGACCAGGCAAATGAGTATTGTGGAGTTGCACAATGGCAGGGAAGGATAACATGCTCAGAGCTTTGTACCGTGCCCATACCTCCACGCACACATCCAGCAGCAACATTCTCACGCTTCTAGCTTCTTCCTTCTTGCATCTCTTAATTTTTTGACATCCCTTCTTGCTTGGTTTGTGAGCCTTCCCTCTCTCGCCTGCCTTTGACAAGCTAGTGGCTGGCTGACAAAATAGCTTCCCACTGCTCTAATAAGGGACTAGTTGAGTTCCTTTCTGCTCCTTAAGACTAACCCCTTTTCTCTAATCTAGAGCAAATTTCAAGAACCAGCTTGGGAAGAAAAGGATTTGTCAGGCTCATCAGTAAAAGCCTCTCCGAAGGAAGAGAGTTTAAAGGCTGCTGCTCCAGTGGCCCTTCAGGTCTCAGTGCTGTTTTACTAACTGCTTGTTTTCATGGTATCAAAGCTCACCCTAACCAGCGGAGAGCCATGTGCCACCACCTCCTTCCCCTGCTTACTGAGCTGCTATATATATTTGCTTGTATATATAGATGTATATATACACACACTCTCCTGTATGGTTTAATTATCTTTTCTCATACCTCTCAACATAAAAGAATCCTGGACAAAACAAGACATAAGGAGGTGGGACATCATAGCAGCTAAATTAAAGGGACAGTGCGTGCTTTCAAGAAGCCAGTCCAAACCCCACTGGTGGCATAAGCAGGCCCTTCATTGACTTCAATGACTCTTGAGTCAGGCCCTAATAGAGGAACATTCTTAGCAAATGAGCAATTCAAGGTGTATTGATACTGTGCTGAAAAACGTCTACAGGCTAGTGTGGATGAAATTTCCACTTTGATGCCGTTGAGAGGTATGTGTTGCCTTCAAGGGGAACTAAGAAGGATGTTCCTTTGTTCTGATTTTTCTTGTCAATTACACTGATTATAAGTGAGAAAGTTATTACTTAAGGGCTTTGCTCTGATGGAATACTGACTCCAGAGATGTGAGTGCTCTGAACATAGGACCTTTCATACAAATTCATACTTTATTTCCTCAGGACAACATTGACTGTTCCTTGCACATCTTTTAAAATGAACCTTAAAATCTGAAGTGAGGTATAAACAACATGTGGACAGAACAATACCTAATGACCTATCTCAGTGAAATTGACAAACTTCCTTGCTTCTCCTGCAATAGGTGCAGCTGACTACTCTTAGCCTTTGTCTTTTCCTGCCTCAATTCTTTCTCTTCTTCACCTTCCCTGTCCTTCCTTTCATCTTCCTAGTGCTCTGACCATCTGTGAGAGTCAGAGCTCCCTTTTTAATGTCTTATGTTTGCTCTTTTGCACACACTTTCAGTACAAGTACCACTATAACCAGTAATTCCTTGGAGGCTGATGTTTTCAACATCTTGGTTTTGTTTTCTCTTTGCAGTTTTGCAAATAAAATGAGAAAACCTTTTCCTTCTTTCCTCCCTGCAGAAAATTTGCTGTAAGAATTTGGTTGTAGTGCTTGGGATGTGTTTGATACCCTTTCCATGATGCTTCCTTTCCCCTTCCTCCCTCTCCCATTGAGTCCAGATGGCTCCAACCTGTCATTCAGCACTTACAACCTTAGCTTCTTTCCTTCCTTTTGTTTCATTCAGAGAGCGGGATTGAGGGAGGGCACAGAGGAGAAATCTAAGCCACCTCGGCACAGGGCTCCTGAAAGTGACACAGGGGATGAGGAACAAGACCAGGAGAGAGACTCAGTCTTCCTGAAAGACAACCACTTGGCCATCGAGCGCAAGTGCTCAAGTATCACCGTCAGCTCAACTTCAAGCCTTGAGGCTGAGGTGGACTTCACAGTTATTGGTGACTACCACAGTGCAGCCTTTGAAGACTTCTCACGGAGTTTGCCGGAGCTTGACAAGGAAAAGAGTGAAGGAGAAGCAGAGGGCCAAATTTCTTCTGAGGAATCCGACAAACCAGTTTCCAGGCAGGAAGATGATATGAAGGATGGTGATAAGGTTCCCCAAGTAATCCCAGAAGAGGTACAAAAGGGAGCCATCGTATACAGATGTGTCTTAAGTGTTGTATTGCATCATTTGAAGTGTTGTCTGTCTTGGCATTTGTATTGCTTGATTGACTATCCATCTTGCACATGTTTGGAAGAACGCATCTGTTTCCAAACAACAACAAAACATCTTCTGAAGTATTTCATAACTGTTGTTGTTGTCTTGACTGCATGATTGTTTTGACATCCAAATGCATGTTTGCCCAGTATTTGTCCTCATGCATCTCCTAACCATGAAGTTCTATCATAATTTAACCTACCATATTTGCCTGGCTATTCAGACGTAGCTCTTGGGGTGGGTTTGTGTGTCCTTTGTGTTGCATGAACTCAACAAATAACATGTACCGAGGAAACTTAATGTCTGTATAAACTGTGACTTATGACATGATGTACAACCTCTAGGAAGACAGCTGAGCCAAATGACAATACTTTATTCTGGTTCTTTAAGTCAGGTGGGTGAAAATGATAGAATAAAAATAGTAAAATTAACTGTCCACCGACTGACTGAAAAATAGTTGTCAAAACAAAAGAGAAAATACTGGGAAAATAATACTATTCCTGGGAATCTAGAATTAAGTTAACTGTTATAGATCTGCCAGAGAAAGCCACACATACATTTTGGTACATTAGTCCTTTCAAGTCACTGGAATTCTTACATTAATTTCCAGCCTGCATATTGCATTCTCCCAGAGAATGATTTTTATTAGAATCTTTTACTTTACTAAGGCTTATGTTTTCAGTCAGCCCACTCTGGTGTTTAAAAACCACATGTGCCCTGTGTAATAGATGAATTATTGAGTTCAAGCTAAGCAAAGACTGTGCAGTTAAAATAACTGCATCCTACATGGTGCAAACATTAAAGTGTGAAGGATTTGGGAGCACAAAACAGCATACGTGTGCAGTTAAATAGAGCCTGGACTGTTGCTATATTTGTCTGTTCTTTTGATAGCCTTCAGTTGTGAAAACAGAAACTGTGAAAAAAGCAGAAGCAGAGGCCTCTGTGCAGCACAGAATCATTGCAACAGAAATTACACAGGTAATTTTCAAATTCTGTTCCATTGTACTCCAGTGTTTCTTCTGCAGCATAGCATTCCATTAACTCCACTGGCAAAGCATCACACTAGATCGTATCTGATCTTCAAGGTAGCTTTTGCTGAAGTGGAAGGGATGGCATGACATACCTTCTGGTTTGATATTTTGACAATATAAGATTCATTGGTAAGACAGTGCATGACAGGATTTAAAATTGTGCAGTCCTTTGTGATAATTTCTAAAGCACTGAACAGCCCAATAGATAACCAAGTTGTAACTCCCAAACATATGGAATAGGGCTTGATTTATGTAAAAACTTTTACTGAAGTCAACTGAACACATTTAAAAGATTGTAGATTGCACTTGATCTGTACTTTTGCAAACTGACCATGTTTTCCCTTTACATTTTCAGGTTGATGGTACCACCACAAGTGGAAAAGAAACAATAACCACTTCACACATTGTCAGCACAGAAACCATATCAACAACTTCAGTAAGTATCAAGGAGGGAAGGCTGGTGAGGACACAGCCTCAAAAGTATACCTAACAAATGTATATTCTCTTATTCAGCCGCTTCTTCACATATGTGCCTGTTTCTCCTTTGTCATGCTTCTTATCTTTGGATTTGTTACGGCTTCATTTCAAATAAGAGTTTTGCTCCCAATTGCATTGAGCTTTATGTTATTACTGCAGAAGTTGTGTGTGCTACAGCAGAAGCAGTTATCTTTTAAAGATTTAGTATGCACATGCATCTTCTGTACAATACATGAAACAGCTGCATGTTTTTTCTAGTGCTGCATGTTTTTTCTAGTGATAGGCAACCTTATTTAGTGAGTTTATTATCTACTCAGAAAATATCACACCTGTTATGCAGGCTTGGATGAAGGTTTCTTCTCAAAGCAAGCTCTCGTTCTATGTAAGCTGTCTTTTGCACATGTGTTCTGTAAGAGTACATTTTGAGAAATACAGTTTGAAATTGCATAGCGCCCCCTTGGAGCCAAAGCTGTGGTGGTGGCAACAATGACAGTTTAAAGGAGACTAGGAAAACTTTTAAAAAGTATGGGTGGAGGAGTACTGTTGAGTCTTCCTTCTTGAGGAGCCATAGTGGGGGTAGACACAAAGAGGGAAGCGGCACCACATTCAGCAAGAAAGGGGTTGATCTAACTGATGCAGAACATGCATGGGAATGCCAGATTAGGCAAGAACACTCTTAATCCAGCACAGTGCATGCACAGCGATCATACAGACTTTGCATGCTTAGAAGTGCATGACCAATCCAAAATATAATAGTGAGATCGTACTTTATTCATGAAGGTAGCAGAAAGCTCTGACAAAATGTGATCCACTAGAGAAGGAAATGGCAACTCTCTCCAGTATCTTTGCCATGAAAATCCCATGGACAGTACCAAAAGGCAAAAAGATATGACGCCGCAAAGTTATGCTCAAAATCCTTCACCTCAGGGCAGAAGGTGTCCAATATGCTACTGGGGAAGAGCGGAGGGCTAGTACTAGTAGTGCTAGAAAGAATGAAGCGACCGGGTCAAAGCCGAAAGGACACTCAGTTGCAGATGTATCTGGTGGTGAAAGGAGAGTCTGATGCTGCAAAGATCTATGCTCCATAGGAACCTGGAATGTACGATCTAAGAATCAAGGTAAGCTGGATGTGGTCAAACAAGAGATGACAAGACTGAACATCGACATCTTAGGAATCAGTGAACTAAAATGGACAGGAATGGGTGAATTTAGTTCGGATGACCATCTGGTATACTACTGCAGGCAAGAATCCCTCATGGTCAATAAAAGAGTAGGAAAAGCAGTACTGGGATACAATCTCCAAAATGACAGAATGATCTCAGTTCGAATCCAAGGCAAACCATTCAACATCACAGTAGTTCAAGTCTACGCCCCTACCACTGATGCTGAAGAGGCTTAAGTTGACCAGTTCTATGCAGGCCTACAACACCTTCTAGAATTAACACCAAAAAATGATGTCCTTCTCATCATGGGGGATTGGAATGCTAATGTAGGAAGCCAAAAATTAACTGGAATAACAGGCAAGTTTGGCCTTGGAGTACAAAATGAAGCAGGGCACAGGCTGGTAGAATTTTGTCAAGAGAATACGATGGTCATAGCAAACACTCTAATCCAACAACCCAAGAGATGACTCTACACATGGACATCACCAGACAGTCAACACAGAAATCAGATTGACTATGTGCTCTGCAGCCAAAGATAGAGACGCTCTATAAAGTCCATAAAAACTAGACCAGGAGCTGACTGCGGCTCAAATCATGAGCTTCTGGTTGCAAAATTTAGGCTTTAATTGAAGAAAGTAGGGAAAAGCACTAGACCACTCAGGTATGACCTAAATCACATTCCTGATAAATATACAGTAGAGGTGACAAATACATTTAAGGAATTAGATCTGATAGACAAGTGCCTAAAGAACTATGGACGGAGGTTCACAACATTGTACAAGAGGTAGCAACTAAAACCATCCCAAAGAAAAAGACATGCAAGAAAACAAAATGGCTGTCTGAGGAAGCTTTACAAGTAGCTGAGGAAAGAAGGGAAGTGAAAGGCAAGGGAGAAAGATAAAGATACACCCAATTGAATGCCTAATTCCAGAGAATAGCTAGAAGAGATAAGAGTGCCTTCTTAAATGAACAGTGCAAAGAAATAGAAGAAAACAGTAGAACAGGGAGGACCAGAGATCTGTTCAAGAAAATTGGAGATATGAAGGGAACGTTTCATGCAAAGATGGGCATGATAAAGGACCAAAATGTCAGGGACCTAACAGAGGCAGAAGAGATTAAGAAGAGGTGGCAAGATTACACAGATGAACTATACAAGAAAGAGCTTAATGTCCCTGATAACCACGTTGGGGTGGTCACTGACCTCGAGCCAGATATCCTGGAATGTGAAGTCAAATGGGCCTTAGGAGGTCTGAGCAACAACAAAGCTAGTGGAGGTGACAGTATTCCAGCTGAGCTATTCA